AGCAAAAGAGGCCTTTTTTTGAATTTTATAATCAGACATTGGTAATCCATCTTCCAGTTGCCAGCAAAATCAACCCCTGTTGATTGGAGGAATCTTAACTTTCACATTTTTTATTGTATCTGTGGATTCAACCTTGAGAATAATAGTCTTTCTTGTTAGGGCTTTCATGAAAGCCCTCACAAGACGCCCAAACTGCATCTTGGCAGTGTGGGTCTGTGGATCTGAAAGGAAGATTCAGTTCTGATGAAGTTTACTCAAATTTATCTGAAGCTGAATTGAAGCTGGGTTATTGCAGGAAAAGGGAATAAGAGGTCTAGCATCACAACTAGGGTTCTTACTTAAAGACTCGGAGGAAACAATCATCCCTGTAATGAGACCACCCTGACTTAGTCACCTGGACTATGAGAAGAATCAGTTGAAGCTGTTCTGAAGGAAGCAGAGACTCTAAGAGAACCTCCTTCTCACCCAGTGCCCACAGATTCTGCAGCCTGGCCAGCGCTCACAGGGGCAAGCTGGAGAAAAATGGAACAGAGGACACCTCCCCCAAAATGAGACTTTTCTACAGAAAGAGGAGGAGGCACATGCCCCCTCTCTGAAGTGATCCATGGTAACCTTATTCCCAGATGCACGCACACACACACACACACACACACACACACACACACAGCCCTGATAAAGCCCTTGGACTCTTTCAGGCAAAAGACTTAGAAAATTTTCTGTCTCTGTTAGCCACGTTTAAGCTTGACTATTAGTGACAGAAAAACCCAGCACTGCAGTGGCCTAAACTAAATTGAAGTTTATTTATCCCATAGGCATAGGCTGTCCTAAACTGGTTTGTCAGTTCTACAGTGATCAGGAAGCCAGACTCCATGCCTCTTGTTTCTCTCCATCTTCAACATGAAGCTTCTTTCTGCCTTTTGGTCCAAAAGGGCTGCTGAAGCTCCAGCCATTATGCTCACATTCTAGCCAGTAGAAAAAAGGAGGGGGAGGAGTTGGGATCTCTCTAAGAGCTCTGCCCAGAAATCACATGTTCCAATTACACGTACCATACCCTTTTGATTTGTCTTTTGAGTTAGTCAATTGACCACACCTAGTAGCCAGGGAGGCTGGGACATATGGTCCTTATTCCACACAGCTATTTGCCCAGCCAGTAATCAGAGAATACACATTAGCATAAGAGGAGAACGTGGCAGTCTCTGCCACACCCTGCAAAACTAACCACAAAATTTGCAGCAAAGAAGAGTTATGAAAATAAAATATCCAGCTGTGAGTGTGAACAGAAAGAGCTTGAACCCTTGAAGTTCACCTGCTTCGTGCATTTTCTCTCTTATTTGACCTTACCCCACCTGAGGGCACACAACTTCATCTTTGAAATTTAGACTCAGGGGGTGCGACACCTCCTTTCCTTCTTTGTCTCTAGCATGAATTGGCTCTCCAAGCATTTTCCAAGAACTTTATTAAATATAGTACTCAGGCATAAAAAGAAGAAAATAAGGAAAATGCCAGATGCTCAGAAACTTACAATTTATATGATTGGATCTTAAGGTAACTGCTTTCTGTTTCCAAAAGGCAGGCACAAATATGCAAAAATCATGATAGAGGCTTTGTTCCTCTTAGCTGCTCTCAGGTCTCAGGTAGAGGGGAGCAGCTTTACTCTTTTCTGGAACAAGGCACATGACCATTTTCAAACTCTGCCATCCCCCTGTGCTCAACCATTTCCATCTGTCTTTGTGCTCAGGGGCAGGCTTGGTGAGCCTTCAGTTCTGGTGACTAGCGGTAAACACTTCCTGTCTGTGCAGGGGATGATCTTGTCCCTTCACGTCCACAGGGCAGCTGGGCTTTTGTGTCACACTAAGTAGTGTATCTTGGAGATCTTTTCATCTCAGCCCCTATAGATCAAATTCATCCTCTTTGATGGTTCCATAGATATTGCATTGTGTGTATAACTTCAGTTTATTTAACCAGACTCCTATTGCCAAATGCTTTAACATTCCTATAGTAGAATTATATCTTTATTGATTGACTTTTGAACGGGGTAACAGCCGGTGTTTAGAGGGGGATATAATGGAAAGAGCAGGTCTTGGACAACTTCTCCCATGTCACAATATTTTGAAGGGTGGCTTCATCTAAGAATCTTGAATGAAAATAATTCAGTAAATTACGGGCGAGAAATGAACTCTTCTAAATCTGCTGGAGGCTAGAAACAGATTCATTGGTGTCCTTGGGATCAGAGAACAGTATAGAGTCAATAACTTGAAAACTGGGTTCATTGAAACAACAGGGGCTGGTCCACAAACTTTTAAAGTTCATACCTTAAATCAACACCTTGGCCTCTAACACTCAGCTGCTTGATGCAAAAAGCAGAGGTGGACAACAGCAAAAATTCACACTTCAGAAACCAATAATGCCGAGAGAGCAAATGGCCATTTAGTTTCTCCACCAAACTTCCCTAATCCAGTTTGATTGTTCTTAAATAGCATTGACTTAACAGTTTGTAAAGTAAATACCCTTCCAGGTTTTTGGGAACCCTTGCCTCTCAATTATGTTTGACTTTGTTTTCCTCCCAATTGGTGGCCTCCTCCTGCCTCACTGAGAATTCAGCTATTCTGTTCTTTTACTGTCAAAATTTGCTCTCAAAAAGATGCAAAAACTCATTCACGTTATAATTTAAGTTGATATCTAAGTGATATCAGGTAGGAAGGGAAACTGGCATATATACACATATACTATATGTATGTGTGTGTGTGTGTGTGTATGTGTGTGTGTGTATGTGTGTGTGTGTGTGTGTATATATATGTATATATTTTTTTAGCAGCATCTCTCTCTGTCACCCAGGCTGGAATACACTGCTGCGATCTTGGCTTACTGCAACTTCTGCCTCCTAAGCTCAAGTCATCCTCCCCCTTCAGCCGCCTGAGTAGCTGGGACTACAGGCATGCACCAGCATGCCTGACTAATTTTTAAAAATTATTATTTTTTTTGGTAGAGGTGGGGTTTTGCCATGTTGCCCAGGCTGGTCTTGAACTTCTGGGCTCAAGTGATCCTCCTGCTTCGGCCTCCTAAAGTGCTTGGATTACAGGGATGAGCCACCACGCCCGGCCTGTATATATATTTTAATTTAGATTTTTATTATAGGAATTTTAAATATACACAAAAATAGAGAGAAAATATAATGAACCCATGCATACCCACCGGCTTCAACATTTATCAACAGTCTATCATTTTTGCTTCCATTCTTCACTTATTTCCCCCTATACTTTTTTTTCTGTGTTATTTTAAACGATTTCCTACAAATACGGGAAGGTATATTTGACGGGAATAAATGGGAAACTTAGTAGGGCAGTGGCTGGAAGGGGGTGCAAAGCTGCAGGAAAGATTCTCGGATTGGGTTGCGACGCCTGCCACGAACGTAGAGGAGGAGGCAGGGGCAAGCGCCACGCACCTCCCACGTACCACCTGCTTTCAGTAGAAGGAATTAAACTCTTACTCTAATATTTTAGGCATTTACAGCTGGCAGGGGAGAATGTTTTGGAGGAAAGAGGGCTTTTCATGCTCTGATCACTCCTGGGAGGCAGTTGCCTCTTCCTCTACCATCCGCTTTGTATCACTTTTCCAACTACTTGATATGGTTTGAACAGAGTGGCTGTGAGTGGCAGCGGCACACACGGCTTGCGGTGGTGAGTCTCTGTGGAAGGGAACAAAGCCAGGCAAGGCTCCAGGTGACAGCCTGCCTGTCACTGCATAAGAGGAGGGAACAGCAGAGCTTGCCATTTGGAGGGATCGTGGGCTTCCAGCCTCCTGCAGGACGGTCAGCAGCTGTCAGTGGTATCCAAACTGCACTTTCTGCACAAAATGAAGATGTCACAGGAACAGAAGGAAATGCCAGTCAGTTGTCCTTTGATTTGCTAGTTTACTCCAGCAGCAGTATCAGTTTTGTCCCCAAAACTCTTTTCTGGCAAAGCCCACAGGGCCCAAGAACAGCTTTTATTCTGCGTGTGCTGGAAGCCAGGAGGAAGCTTTCTGTGTGTGTGTGCGTAGGGGGTGTGGTGTGGGTGGGAAGGAGTGCAGGGGGAGGTTCGAGGGCTTGTAGGGCTGGGCAGAGTGGCATCTTTGGAAACTGCTGCCATATACCCCTCACGTGTTAGGCTGTGTGTTCGAGAAGGGTCTGCAGAATTAGTTGGCTATTTGAGGAACAGGTGTTCTTGGGGTGGATTTGCTGGCATCGGTTAGATGGCAGGATGGTTCAGGTTCACTGTTGAACCTGACAGGATGGCAGGAGCCCAGAGGGGCCTCAGGAGGGTTCCCAGGCTGTGCAGATACGTTCATCGCGTCCTGGCGGCATTCATGTGCCGCCCACACAATATGAAGGGCCTTTAGGAGAGAGAAACTGTTCACAGTGAGGTCTGCTATTGGCCACATGGGCCTTGCTTGAGTCTGGTGAGCTTTTTTTAGTGTTAGGGAATTCGTGAAGACTATCATCTCTGGCTTGACCTAAACAGAGGCCACAAGCCCTCTACTTCAGCATTTTCTAAAGTGTATTCTGCTAAGTACTAATTCAGTGGAATTAGGGTGGGTAGGAGATGTTTGTGTGGGACAGCACTCCACCCATTCTGTGGATGGAGAGTGGGTGGAAGAGTTCCATGATGAAGTCAATTGGGAAATTGTGGGCTGAACAGGCCTGTTTGTGGCAGGACTTCTCAGGACCTTTATTACACCAGGGTGCATTGTGACTTTCTAAGAGAGGGCTATCATAGGTTGCACTCCTACTGTTTGTTTAGCTATAGAGCCCTTGCTACAAGCGTTTCACCAAACATACTTTGGGAAATAGAGTCTTACTTGAATGAAGATTCATCCTGCTGATTTTTCTAAGTCATCAACACCAAAAGACTCAAAATCTATACTTCTCTCAACTAAACTAGAAATAGTTTGATATTTATATTGTTATAAGCTCTTACCCAAAGAGTGTTGAAACTTGAATTGATTTTATATTTCCTTTCCAGATTATTAAAAACTCCAATTTATGTCTGTGTAACTCAACGTGGGAGCCTGGAACCATGTTTACTCTTCTGATGACCCTGAAAGGTAGGCATCTGCAATTTACAGATGGGGGCACAAAAGCTCCAAGAGATTTAGTCATTGGCTCAGGATCTTGCAGCTGGTAACAGATGCGGACGTGGGTTTGTCTAGCTTTTCTCTCAGCAGGTGAAGGAAGGGCAGGTTTTCCTTGCTTGGTGTCTGTCTCGCCCATAAGAATATCAACACCTTCCATGAGGGCAGTGACTTTGTTTCGTTCACTTCTGTATCTCCAGTGCCCAGCACACAGTAGGTTCTCTGAACGTGTTTATTCAAGGAAGGAATTACTGTTTTCTCATCTATGCAATAAATATGCATGAAATGTCTCTTCTACGTCCCCAAGAATGCGGGTCTGAGAAAGTGCCACTGAAAACACAGACTTGGTGAGGCCATGTCAAACAATAAAGCCAAGCTGTTTTGGGGCACAGAGAAAAAAGAGTTCACTTTGTGGGAGTTCTGGAGTGCTGTCTCTGAATCCTGACTTCTTTTAAAGTTAAGAGAAAGAAGAAAAGAATATTAAGTACACGCGCCTGGGGAAAAATCATTAAAATAGTACAGAAAGGTATGAAATAAAACATAAGTCTTTCTCTTCACCTCCATTGCTAGTCCTGTTCTTCACTTGACTTTCTTGGGGGGAGGAAGTGTTGGTGGTGGTTTTGTCCATAACTCAAATAATATGCTTACATTTGCATTTCTTGATTCATCAATATGAAGCAGTAGCTATTGACTCCTCTCTATGATAGAGGAGGTATGTATCTCCCCAACTTCTGTCTGCCCATTTTTGTTATATTTTTATTCTTCTATATATTTTCTCTATAATTTAAAATAATGTGCCTAAACCATCGTTCTTTAATGCATTAACTTAGTATGTCTTGTTTCTCTATCATGTAATGTAAGGAAATTAACTCCATGTTGCCACCTTTCTCTTCCCCCCAGTATTGGTCAGCGTTAACTTTACTTTTATGTTGTCAAAGCGTAGAACATTGACACTTCATATTGTACCCACAACTAGTCCCTTTCATGCTTTGTTTATATGCAAGTTGATGCTGAAAATTGAAAATCAATACATGGCTTTAACAATACTGGGATTTGGTAAAGATTATTCGCTGCAGAACCAGAACAGTGTTTGGCTTTATGGAGGAGATGCAATCCTATGTTCTGATGTAATCTTTGCTGTCCAAAGGAGGTTGTTCCAAGCATCAAGGTAAACAGAATCTTGCTGTATGATAACAATTCTTCAATATAATAACTCATTTTCAATCTGGAACATGAGTCTCATTCTGGAATTTATAATTGTGTGTGTCTGTTTTCTGGTTGACATGCCTTCATCATGTTACTAAGAATTTCCAACTTCTTAATCATTCTATTTGGAAAGTGGCCAATTTGAAACAGACTTTCCAGCTGTGTCATCCTGAACTTTTTTGATGCACTCTTTAGTTCCACCATTTGCTAGGTCCCACTTCTTTCTTTCTTTGGTTTGAGGGACTGAGTAAATAAATGGATAATAGCCAAACCATATTAAGAAACAAAACACTGACTCACAAACTGCAGCAACTATCCGAGGAAACCAATCCATTATCTACAGTAACCAGCCCAAGAAGCCAGCTTATTATCTATAAGTCAGATGTATAGTAAGTCAGACCACTGTCTCCGGCACTCAGCCCAAGAAGCCTAACAATAACCTCAGAAGCAATGGGTCTCCAACAGTCAGGACTTGATTAATATCTGACAACATCCCTAGTCTTTGTCTCTGCTTCCAATTTGGGATCAACCAGACAAAGCCAGATACGCACCTGTAATCAATCCTGTGGGAGGCTGAGCTTCTCGTTAGTGCACCTGCGACCTCCCCATGCCGACAGCCTCCAATCAGGGCATACCCGAAACCTTTCCTTTTTTCCACTATACAGCTTTCCCATTTCTCTGCTTGTTTTTGAGTCTCGCCAAAATGCAATGGATGGCGGCTGACTCTTTTGCTCGAGCAAGCTCTGAATAAATAGCCTTTGCTTGTTCTCATTTGGTTGGTGCTTGTTTATTTCCACAGCTTCTTTTTTGTTTGTTTGCTTTTCTGGAGCATATCCTCAGGCAACTTTTTTTTTTTTTAGGTAAAATTTCTGGATCTTGGCAGGTCTGAAAATATCATTATTTTTGTCCGGTTCCTTGGGTGGCTTCTGGGTTCAAAATAACTTAACTCAAAATTTTGTAGGAATTGCTTCACTGTCTCCTAGCATCCAGAATTGTTGTTGAGAAGATGATCAATCTTTTGTAGGTTAAACTGCTTCCTCCAGTGGTTTTAGAAACTTTCCCTTTTCCATGTACTGAAACCACATGAGGATATTTATGTCTAAGTAGGAGTCTTTTGAGAATCATCTTGCTTAGTACTTGGTGGGCCTTTTGGCATAGGGACTTGAAATATTTATTTGATTCTTTTCTCCCTTCCTTTCTCTTGGTTCTTTCTCTCTGTCTCAACTTCTATGAGATAGTATAGGCTCTAATTAATCTTCTATGTCTCTAATTTTTTCCTTCATACAATTTTTGTCTTTTTACTTTCCATGTTAGAATATTTTCTTGTATTTCTTCTTCAATAGTTATATATAACTATTCAGGTTCAAGACCAGCCTGGCCAACATAGTAAAATCCCATCTCTGATAAAAATACAAAAATTAGCCAGGTGTGGTGGCATGTGCTTGTACTCCTAGCTACTTGGGAGGCTGAGGCAGGAGAATTGCTTGAACCCAGGACGTGGAGGTTACAGTGAGCCGAGATCGCACCCCTGCACTCTGGCCTGGGTGAGAGAGTGAGACTCTGTCTCAAAAAAATTTAAAAAATAAAAAATGAAATTGTCATTTTGGTGGATTTTGGGAGTGGTCTGCTTTGTTTACTCACCTTTCAATGGACTCAAGTGTGTTTTTTGGTCAGACTCAGAGTGGAAATAGAACAAAGATTCTCTGATTGAAGGCAAATCAATTCATCGTATATTTTATTGCCAACACCCCAAAGCAACCTGCAAGCCACAAATAGAGAACATAGGGCAAAGCGGCAAGAACATAGGGCAAAACAAGCAGGGCTGGAGGCCCTTTTGTCCTTTACTGTGTCCAAGTGATTTGGGTAGATGGCAGATCCTGAGGGAGTACACCTGTGGCCATGGGAGGTTTGCAGGATTCCGCCACAGTCTCACCGCTCTGAGGATGCTCAAATAATATTGCACAGAAACAGTGGGATTTGTTTGAAAGGGTACTTGGAGTTTATTTCACTCTCTCCTAGTTTCTTCCCCCAAGCAGAAGTCAGAGTTATGGTAACCTAGCTTTGGAATAACAAGTTATATATGTTTCTCAGACAATTAAAAAATATATTCATAAACAGCTTTGCAGAGAAGGGGGAAAAAGAACTCTGCAGAAAAACTGGCTCGACCGTTTTGTGAACTGATTAGATAAAAGAAGACTCTGGTATTATTCCTTGTATATTATGCATAGACTTCGAGGAGAGAGAGAAGTCACTTCCTGGTGTCCAGTCTAGAGTGGCTGGGGTATTCTTCAGATTCTACAATGACAAAAGCTAAGGGACAGTGATGCTAAGATGTCAGACAGTGTCTGCAGCTTGTTTCAGCAGGAGCCAGTGGTCCTCACACTGTGACAGGGCATTGGTTCTGCAGGGATACCACATCTTTTCCTGTAGTGAGCCCACGTACGTGCCAGGGTCACACAGCCAGCAAGAGGTAGAGCTGGGATTTGAATCTAGGACTCTTTGATCTCACAGTGTGCGTCCTTTCTTCCACAGCATTGCCTTGCATCATTTCTTTAAAGAATTAAGCATCCATAAGGCAAGAATAATGTGCACATCAGCCATGAACATGGGTGGCAATAAACTGTAATCTGCCACTGTGGTTCAGGGAAAGGAGTGCTTGGTAGGGCTGAATGGAGTGTGTCCTGTCCACATTCCACCCCAGCCTCAGGGAGGCATGGGCCTAGCATAGTGCCAGTGTTCAGTCAGCATGTGCTGTTGAATGAACAAGCTGGGGCAGCCAGAAGAAGTTTTGTGGAAAAGGCAGGACTTGAGCTGGGCTTTGAAGTTGCATAGGTCTGGGAGGGCAGAGAGGGCAGAAAGAGCATCTCAGCGCCCAAGAAACAGGATAGAGCAGATTATGAAGGTGGGGGCAAAGAATGGGGTTGCAAACCCATGGCAGATCAACTGGAAGCAGCAGCAAAGGCCGAGTGACAGCAAGCCCTAAACATCAGTAACAGAGCCTGGAGAGGAAAGGATGAAGGCATCGATTCATGGGAAAGTTGTGCTGTCTTTAAATATGTAGCCATGAGGAAGATTGCTTGATTTCTGAAAATGAACAAAGTTAGCTAATCCAGTGAATTAATAATAAGAGCTATTTTACTGTTTCATTGCCATGACCACAGACTTTGCTAAGTGCTTTACATACATTACCTGAGCTAATCCTAACCTCTGTTTGTAAGGTAGATTCATTATCCCTGTTTCAAAACAGGGGGAAATGGAGGCTTTGAGAAACTCAGAGAGGTGAAGAAACTTGCCCCAAGTCACACAGCCAGCAAGGACAGGGCAAGAAGTTGAAGCCAGTTGTGTCTGCCTCTGAACTTCTCTTAATGGCCAGGGTTGACTGCTTCCCACAACAGATACATGTGGCTGATACTGCAAAAATGACAGTCCCTGGGTGAATGGGAGGCATGTCTGGCTGCTATGTCATCTGAGAGGCAGATTGGGGCAGGTTTCTAGGAAGTATAGGCTCACCTTGCCGAGGACCAGGTTGGCACAGTTTGACTGCTGTGCACTACGGCAGGGCACAGAGCTGATGCCCTCAAGGTCAATTCCAGCCACAATTCTCTGTGATTCTATGACTCAAAAGCTTGGAAACAACCTCAAAGGAGTAAATAGATGAGGGAACAAAGTATTTGCTCTCCTCTATTAAGCCTTGGCTGGGAGTATTTCTTCCACACTCCTTACATGCAAAATGCAGTTTTTGGGAGCAGATTAACATTTCAAACCAC